CACTCAATCCCCACCCATACCCTCATATGTGTATGCATGGCAGGTGTGTGAACAGAGTGAAAGCACAGCTGACTGCTCATTCCAGTCTCCAGTCTCCCCCAAAGTTGGGCATAGCATGGCCCACACCACTGAGCAGGGTAGGGCAAGGACTCTGAGCAAACCAACCCCACAACGGCTGAGGCCATGGGAGTGGCCTAACATACACTCTAAAACATACAGGTCTGGAATCTGAACACTAACATGTGCCTCAAACATGCCCTAACTCCAATCATAGCCCTAAGAAATACCATAACATGTGTGCTAACCCTTACACATACCTGAACCCTAACATGTACCCAAACCCTAACATATACCTGAACACGTGCAGTAAACCACACATGTACCCTAAGATGTACCCTCCAATATACTCTAACATGTTCCCTAACACATAACTTAACTCTAACATGTATCCTAACACATACTCTAACCCTAACATGTACCCCAATTACTAACGTACAGCAACAAATTACCCTAACGCAGTCTAAACCATACACACACCCTTACATACACCAGAACAACAATGTGTCTTAACAATACCCTAACATGTGGTCTGGTCTTAATATATACCATAATCCTACCAAACATACCTAAAACCTAAACCATGACATACCTAAACCCTAACACATACCCAACCTCTAACACAAACCTGCTACCTACTAAAATTTTACCCTTACCCTAACATATATTATAACATATACTCAAGATACTAACATGTATAGTAACAATTACTCTTACATGAACTTTGAACAAAACAGGTACTCTTACATGTACCCTAGCATGTACCCCAAACACTCTAATGTATACCCTAAGATAGAAATTAAAAGATACTCTGACATGTAACCTAAACATAACATGTACCTTAACCACTGTCACGTACTGTAAACCTTACATATACCCTAAGAAGTACCCTCAACTTATGCCAACACACATCCTAACATGTTGTCTAACCTAAACTGTAACTGTAACCCCAACACATACTCAAACATGTACTCAAACACTACTCTAAACATGTGCACATATCTTACAACGTAATCTCATGTGTACTTCAAGTCATAAGTGTACTATAACACCTGCACAACACATACCGTTTCCTAACATATACTCCAAATGATAACTCATATCCTAACAAGCAACCTAACACTTATTCAAAACCATGCAAGTACTCTTAAACTCACTCAAACGTGTACCCCAAAGTAACCTAATATACACCCTAATGTGTGCCCTAACTTTACCAAGTATTTTAATCCTAACAGATTTCACAATAGTACTCTAACACATTAAACATACTCTAGACACTAACATAAATGGTAACAAGTACCCTAACATGTACTCTATAAAGCATACAGGTAAGCTTACATGTACCCTGAAATCACCTAATATACTCTAACCCTGACCCTAATATGTATTCTATCAAGTACCTTGACATGTACTGTAAAATATACAAGTATCCATACATGTACCCTAACATGTACCCTAACATACCCTAATAAGTACTGTAAACCACACAAGTATCTTTTTATGCACCCTAACATGTATCCCCAATGGTCCATAACACAGCCTAACATGTGCCCTAACCCTATAAGGTCCCCTAACACATACCATAGTATCTGCCGTAAGACACACTCTAACAAGTGCCCTAACATGTACCGTAACCCTAACAAATCCCCTATCAAGTACCCTAATTCTAAAACATACCCTAACATGGACCCAAACACATAGCCTAATGTGTGTCATTACCATGTGTATTAAACCTAACAGATTTCCCAATAGCACTGTAATGCACTAAACATGCTCTGCACCCTAACCCATATGGTAACAAGTACTGAAACATGTACTCTATAAACCACAAGTGTACCCTGAATGTACCCTAACAAAATATAATCCATACTCTACTAATAAATATGGTAACAAGGACCCTAACATGTACTCTAACCCAGTTACCCTTACATACACCCTCACACCTTCACACAAAAACTAACCCAAACCTTAATACCCTTACACATACTCTAATCCTAACATGTATATTAACATGTGCCCCAACCACTAACACACACAGTAACAAGTACCCTAACACATCAGGTACTCTTACAAGCACCTTAACATGTACCCCAAATGTACCCTAACACTAACCCTAAGCAATACCCTAACACACATCGTAAACCTAACACAATATTGACATGTATCCTGAAACATCATAGCCTGCATAGTTCCCTAACCTGTGCTCTTAAGCCTAAGTTCCCTTACGAGCACCCTAACATGTACTCAAAATGTAACCCAACACATACCCTAACACGTGCCCAAAAAATAACCAAAACCATAACCTTAACCAATACCCTAACATATGTTCTAACCCATGTCCTAACCCAAACACATACTCTAACACATATCCTAATAAATACCCTAACCACTGTAACCTTCATGTAGCACAAATGTATAACCTGACACACGACCTAGTGCTGGCTCTAGTCCTAACATGTACCTTAACCCTAACATGTACCCTAAAATGTTCCCTAACATATACCCCATCATACACCCTAACTCTGGCCCATACTCACACCCTAACATAAACCCTAACCTAAATCCACACACAAACATGTATCCTAACACCTTATGTACCTTAAACTGTGCCTCAACCCTAAAATGTATGGTAAACATTAACATGTATCCTAACAAGTACCCTAACACGTACTCCAAGTGATACTTACATGCACCCTAACATGTACCCAACATGCATCCTAACATGTACCCTTATACATACCTAACATGTACCTAACAAGTACCCTAACACGTACTCCAAGTGATCCTTACATGCACCCTAACATATACTTACATGTACCCTAACATGTACCCTTACACATATCTAATCCTAACACATAGCTTAACCCTAACAATCCCACTTACCATAACTGTACCATGTGCCCTAATGTATACCCTAACCACTAGTATGTACAGAATCAAGTAATCTAACATGTATTAAACCATAAAGGTTTATGTTCACCCTAACATGTACCCCAAACCTACCCCAAATGCATGCCCTAACATGTACCCTAATGTACCTTAAACCCAAACACTATCTTAACATGTTCCCTAACATGTACCCCCACCATACACCCTAACTCTGAACCCATACTCACATCTTAACATGTGCCTTAGCCCACACTCATACTTATACCCTAAGACATACCCTAAGCCATTCAGCAATCTTATGGCCTCACCCTAAACCAGCTGCTAACCCAAATCCATAACTGTTTGACTAACACTTTCTACAACTCCCCAAACCTACATTAACCCTTTACTAACAAATTACCTAATCCTCACTTGTTCCATACCCACTCTGAAGACCGCTCCATAACATATCCATCATCCTAACCCATCCCACAAAGTTCTTCCTTGCATGTTCCCAAACTAACTCTGAACCTAACTTTAACATGTATTTTAACCCTAACAGATTTCACAATAGCACTCTAATACATTACACATACTCTAGACACTAACATATGGTTAAAAATAGCCTAACACATACTCTATGTACCCTGAATGTACCCTAGCATACTCTAACCCCGACCTTAACATATACCCTAACATGTACTCTAACAAGCACCCTGACACATACTCTAAAAAACTGTAACCCTAACACACATCCAAACATGTACTCTAATACAAGCTCTAAACACTTACATGTATCCTACAAGTACTCTAACATGTACTTCAAGTATTACATGTACCCTAAAGTGTGCACAACACAGGTAACCTTACATATACCCCAAATGTATAAGTACCCAAACATGTACTCTATAAACCTAACCTTAGCCTGACCCATTCCATAATCCAAATGCTAATCCCTTCCATAACTCCTAACTTAACCAGATCCCTAACCCATTCTCTAACTAATCCATTATCATATGGTAACATTGACCCTAACACTAACTTAGCTCTTCATACAAACCTGCTCTGTTTGGCTAATGGAAAACCCAGCACCTGATCTAACCTATTTGTGATCCATAACAAAAAATTTAATTCTAACTTCCACCCTGAGTAGCCTAAAACACCCAAACTTAACCCTGCACTTAGCAACAACCCTATACCTATAACCAATTCCTCAACAATTCTTTCATAACCTTATGCCTCTCATAGCTTTGGGAAGTTGGTCAAAGCTCCTGAATGTGTTAGGTACACACTTTGTGAATGGATTTGAGTTAGCTCACAGCTCAGGACAGTGGGCAGGGTTGGGGCCTAGAGTCATCAAAGTTGTTCTGACAAGTAACAACTTACCAAGCAGGAAGGAGTAGGCCTCCCTTCCTCACAAATGCCTTCACCCCTTCTCCAGGTAACATAAGCACAGATGAAAGCATGGTAGAGATGGGGATGCAGACCTAAGTTGGGTCTCAGTCTGCCAAAGCATACATTGAGTTGTAGAGCAAGATTCTACATGCATAATTCCAAGTGTGCGAACTCTCCCCAGTTTCTCCTGACACTCAGTACATTTTCTCCTCAAAGTGCCTACAGGCAGAGGCAGGCAACCAGCAACAAAGGCTAGGCATCCAGGAGCCCTGTCACAGACAAGTGGGACCTGGTATGTCTGACAAGGAAAAGAAAAAGGCTAGGTTATGCCTTCTGCTACCCTCAAAAAATCCTTATCAGAATGTGGACATGACTCCAGTCTACAGAAACTGATTGGCTTCTAAGGCATGAAATGGAGAGCTTAGTGTTGAGGTGTTGCCCTAGCCTGTGAAGAGCCCTGAACACAGTATCACCAGAATTCAACAAAGCAAACTGAAATACCTTGGAATGCCTGACAAAATGTCTGTAAGGTGTATGTAATGAAAACAAACATGTGTCACACATCCTCTCACCCCCTAACCACCATACCTTATGCAGGACATAGCTGAAAGCTCAGTGAAGACTTGGTGCCATGGATACAGGCCTGGGATGAGCCTAATGTGGTCAATTTGTTCTGACAGGTATCAACTTACCAAGCAGGATGGGAGAGGCTTCACCTCGTTCTCCAGGCCCAAGTGTAGACATGAAAGTATAGATGAAAATTTGATGCAGACTCTGAGAAACGCCAGCGGCAAGAGCAAGTTCTGATGGGATCCGATCCGTCCAGACCATCCCACGTTGGTCTATACACCATGAACCTATATTCGTGATTCCAAGCTTCCAGGTTCTCCCCATTTTATCCTGACACTCTTGTGTGTTTTCTTCTCAAAATGCCTATAGTCAGAGGAAGACAACATGCATCAAAGTCTGAAAATCATGGAAAACAAAGACTAGAGAGAAAGAACCAGGGCCAAGAGCTGAGGCACTTGCCTAGCTTGTGGGAGGCCCTGGAACACTGGAATTCAGCTACAGGAAATTGAAACACCTTTGTGTACCTAATAATGTGTAAAAGAGGGCTAGGAACATGGCTTAGTGGCAAAGTGCTTGCCTAGCATGCATGAAGCCCTGGGTTCAAATCCTAAATACCACATACACAGAAAAATCTGGAAGTGGTGCTGTGGCTCAAGTGGTAGAGTGCTAGCCCTGAGTGAAAGAACTCAGGGACATTGCCCAGGCCCTGAGTTCAAGCCCCAGGACAGGCCAAAAAAATGTATTAAATATCTATGTTATGAAAATAAAAAAAAATCTCTGTGCTGGTGCTGGGGCTTGAACTCAGGGCCTGGGTGCTCTCCCTGAGTTGTTTTTGTTCAGTGCCAGTGCTGTATCACTTGAACCACAGCTCCACTTCTAGATGAACCAGAATAGGAATTGGACATCCTTTAGAGTAGGCCTAGTCATAGCTGGCCGAAACTGCAGCTGTTGCCAACAAGGGAAAGGCCCGGATGTGGAGAAAGCCCAAACCAGGAGCTCAGGGAAGGCCCAGACCCAGGGAAGGACGAGACCTAGGGAAGGATGAGACCCAAGGAAGGCCTGGACCCAGGGAAGGCCTGGGGGAAGAACAGGACCCTGGGAAGGGATGGACTCGGGGAAGGCCCAGATTCAAGAAGGAATGGGACTGAGGGAGGCCTGGACCCAGGGAAGCCCTGGACTCGGATATGTGTACTTACAGCAGCCCAGACCCTGAGCGGTCAGGGCGGATGTGCAGCCAGCTACAGAGGCCTGGGGTGGGGCCTGCCTGGTGTGGGGGCTGGTGTGGGGCCTGAAGTGGGGCCTAGCGTGAGACCTGGCGTGGGGCCTGGTATGGGACCTGGTGTGGGGCCCGCATGGTGTAGGGCCTGGTGTGGGGCCTGCCTGGTGTGGGACCTGCCTAGTGTGGGGCCCGCATGGTGTAGGGCCTGGTGTGGGGCCTGCCTGGTGTGGGTGCTGGTGTGCGGCCTGAAGTGGGGCCTAGCGTGAGACCTGGCGTGGGGCCTGGTATGGGACCTGGTGTGGGGCCCGCATGGTGTAGGGCCTGGTGTGGGGCCCGCATGGTGTAGGGCCTGGTGTGGGGCCTGCCTGGTGTGGGGCCTGCCTGGTGTGGGACCTGCCTAGTGTAGAGCCTGGTATGGGGCCTGGTGTGAGCACGCCTGGTGTGGGACCTCCCTGGTGTGGGGCCTGCCTGGTGTGGGGCCTGGCGTGGGACCTGCCTGGTGTAGGGCATAGCGTGGGGCCTGCCTGGTGTGGGGCCTGCCTGATGTAGAGCCTGGTATGGGGCCTGGTATGGGGCCTGCCCGGTGTAGAGCCTGGTATGGGGCCTGGTGTGAGCATGCCTGCTGTGGGACCTCCCTGGTGTGGGTCCTGCCTGGTGTGGGGCCTGCCTGCTGTGGGGCATGGTGTGGGACCTGCCTGGTGGGCCTGGTGTGGGGCCTGGCATGGGGCCTGCCTGCTGTGGGGCCTGCCTGCTGTGGGGCATGGTGTGGGACCTGCCTGGTGGGCCTGGTGTGGGGCCTGGCATGGGGCCTGCCTGGTGTGGGGCCTGGCGTGGGGCCTGCCTGGTGTGGGGCCTGCCTGGTGTGAGGTCTGCCCGTTGTGGGGCCGGGTGTGGGGCCTGCCTGGTGTGAGTCCTGCCAGGTGTGCGGCCTGGTGTGGGGCCTGCCTGGTGTGGGGCCTGGTATGGGGCCTGCTTGGTGTTTGGCCTGGTGTAGGGCCTGGCATGGGGCATGCTGTGGGGCCTGGTGTGGGGCCTGCCTGGTATGAGGCCTGGTGTGGGGCCTGCCTAGTATGAGGCCTGCCTGGTGTGTGGCCTGCCCGGTATGGGGCATGGTGTGGAACCTGCTTGGTCTGGGGTGTGCCTGGAGTGGGGCCTGGTGTGGGGCCTCCCTGGCATGGGGCCTGGCTTCATCAAAGTCACCTCAGAATGTGCTCAAATGACACACCGGCAGAGGCAGACCGCACTGCTCCACGTATTTCCACAGACACCCGCACCCAGGCCTGGGCCTAGACAGCTCCGGAGGCCTGGCTCAGGGCCTAGCCGCACCGAAGTCACCTCAAGAAGGACACAAATGACACACATGGAGAGAAAGGCCGCACTTCACACACTTACACAGACACCCCCACCCAGGCCTGGGCCTAGACAGCTCCGGAGGCCGGCTCAGGGCCTAGCCACACCGAAGTCACCTCAGGAAGGACACAAATGACACACCGGCAGAGGCAGGCCGCACTGCTCCACCCTGTCCCCCACCAGCACCACCCCAGGCCCCGTCCGCGCCCCGTCCGCACCTGGCCAGAGGCTGCTCGTCCTCAGCTCAGCTCCGCCCGTCCTCCGCTCAGCTCCGCTCGCCCTCGCAGTCGCCTCACGGTCCGCTTAGGCCACGCGTCCGGCCTTCTCGACAGACAAGCTGACCGTGCAGAACCCGAGTTCCTCCAGGCGCTTCCTCAGGAGAAAAGCCGCCGGCGCCTGACAGGACCGGGTTGGAAGCCCAGCCCGCCACAAGACCACAGTGCGCCCGCTCAGCTCGGCAGGCCCGAATGCCACCGCGCGCTCTCAGAGGAAAGAGCTTCCCGAGCCGCCCGCGGGACTGCCGTCTCACACAGAACCGGCCCAAACCAGTCCAGCCCTCCGGCCCGCCCCCGCCCCGCTCACTTCCTCTCTCCTGCCCTGCCCCTCACATGCTCTGCCCCACAAGCCCGCCCATACCTGCTCACTCCCAATCTAGTTCCGCCCTTCCCATGCGCTGTCCCCGAAGCCCCGCCCATGGACCACTCACTTCCTCTCTCTAGCCCCGCCCCTCCCGCACAAGCCCGCCCAGGGCTGGGCTCACCTCGGGCGGCTCCCTTCCAGGCTGGGCTGGCAGTGGGCACTGGCCACGAAGCTCAGTGGCGGCCTCGGGGAGTGCTGCACGGCTCTATGGGCCTGGAAGCAGGGAATCGCCCACAGGCTTCAGCACAGAGGCCTGGGCGCCTGTCCCTTCTGTGGCTGGCAGAGACCAGCCTCTGTGTCAGCACAGCCTGGGGCTCCGGGGGGGAGGGTCGGGGTCACCAGCATGGGGTCCGGCCGGTGTCTGCATGTTGGGAACCCTGCAGTAGCCCTGCAGTATCTCCCCGGCCCTGCCCTGCTCCTGCAAAGCGCCGCAGGCCCCGCCCTGCTCCCACAGGCTCCGCCCTGGTCCGGCAGAGCCCCACAAGCCCCCCCCCCTCCTACAGAGCACTGCTAGCTCCGCCCCACTCCCCACAGGCCCCGCCCTGATCCCGGTCCCGCCCTGCTCCTGCTAAGCGCCGCTGGCTCCGCCCCACCCCCCACAGGTCCCGCCCTGGTCCGGCAGAGCCCCGCAAGCCCCGCCCTGGCCCTGCACAGCTGGAAGACCCCGCCCCACTCTGCAGTCCATGCCCTGGTTCCCGCAGAGGCCCCGCCCCGACCAACTGTGGCGGGCCAGCGCTGCAGGATGCGTTGGTGATGGTCATGGGAGTCCATAGCCGCGGGGCCCAGGGCCAATCTCGGAAGAGGAGTGGCAGAGGGGGAGGAGAAGGGGTTAAGGCAAGCGCCCGTGGACGGGACCAGCGGGGTGGGCTGCGGGGCGGGGCCAGGGAGAGGAGGCCCTGAGAGGGGTGGGGCTGCGGGGGAAGGGCCTGCGGGGAGGGGCGGGGCTAGGATTTCCTGGGCGCAGTGGCCCGGGCAGTGCAGCGGCAGTGGCAGGAAGGCGGAGGCGCCAGGGCCAATGGGTGGAACGCTGCACTGGGCGGCACCGCCTGCGTTTGAGACCCTACAGGAAGAAAGAGGGGAAAAAAAGCACAAAAAAGTCCTGAACCAGCGATCTGACCCCTTACCGGAACTCAGCACACCTGTGCGAGGGGAGGAGTCCGGGTCTGTGCAGGGGTGAGGGGAGGGGTACTGGGGTCAGGAGGAGGGGCCAGGTGGAGGAGGGCTCAGGTGGAGAGGGTCAGGAGGAGGGGATCAGGTGGAAGGCTCAGGTGGAGGAGGTCAGGAGGAGGGCTCAGGTGGAGGGGATCAGGAGGAGGGCTCAGGTGGAGGAGGTCAGGAGGAGGGCTCAGGTGGAGGGGATCAGGAGGAGGGCTCAGGTGGAGGAGGTCAGGAGGAGGGCTCAGGTGGAGGAGGGCTCAGGTGGAGGAGGGCTCAGGTGGAGAGGGTCAGGAGGAGGGCTCAGGTGGAGGAGATCAGGAGGAGGGCTCAGGTGGAGGAGGTCAGGAGGAGGGCTCAGGTGGAGGGGATCAGGAGGAGGGCTCAGGTGGAGGAGGTCAGGAGGAGGGCTCAGGTGGAGGAGGGCTCAGGTGGAGGAGGTCAGGAGGAGGGGTCAGGTGGAGGAGGGCTCAGGTGGAGAGGGTCAGGAAGAGGGGTCAGGTGGAGGGCTCAGGTGGAGGAGGGCTCAGGTGAAGGGGATCAGGAGGAGGGCTCAGGTGGAGGAGGTCAGGAGGAGGGGTCAGGTGGAGGAGGGCTCAGGTGGAGAGGGTCAGGAAGAGGGGTCAGGAGGAGGGCTCAGGAGGAGGGGTCAGGAGGAGGGCTCAGGTGGAGGGCTCAGGTGGAGGGGATCAGGAGGAGGGCTCAGGTAGAGAGGGTCAGGAGGAGGAGGTCAGGAGGAGGGCTCAGGTGGAGGGCTCAGGTGGAGGAGGTCAGGAGGAGGGCTCAGGTGGAGGGGGTCAGAAGGAGGGGTCAGGAGGAGGGCTCAGGTGGAGGGGGTCAGAAGGAGGGGTCAGGAGGAGGGCTCAGGTGGAGAGGGTCAGGTGGAGGGCTCAGGTGGAGGAGGTCAGGTGGAGGGCTCAGGTGGAGGGGGTCAGAAGGAGGGGTCAGGAGATGGGGGTCAGGTGGACAGGGGACGGTAGAAGGGGGCAGGGTCCCCTCCTCTGAGCCCAGGGGCGTTTGGGGACAGGGACGAGTGGCCGTGGCGTGGTCAGACCTTGAGGACAAGGGTCCAGGCACGGGCTGAGATCAAAGGCAGTGGCAAAGATGCCTCCTAGACCTAGGGGACAGAGTGTTCTGGGGGTCATGGTCTCCTGGGGGACCGTCTCCTAGACCTGGGGTCAGGGTCTCCTCGAGGTCAGGGTCTTTCTGGGGTTTCATTAATGCTCCTAGGTCTTCT